GGAGAATGGGGATAAGGAAAAAGGGGAAGAGGGGAGGGAAGGTTTTTAAATTAAAGGGGGGAAGGTTTGGGAAGTTTAAAAAGTTTTGGGAAAAGGGTGGGGAGGGGTTTTAAAGAGGAGAAAGGAAATGGGGTTTTGTGTGGAATGGGGGTTTGGGGTTTTAAAAAATGAAAATGGGGAGTTTGAAAAATTTTTTAAAGGGGGTTTTTTTGGTTTCTTAAAAAAGGGGGGTTTTGCAGGAAAAAGAGGGCAAAAATTGGTTTTTGGGGAATGTTTTATGAAAAAAGGAGGAGAGTTCGGGTTAAAGGGTTTTTTAAGGGGGTTACGTTTTAAGAAATTTTTTTACAAATAGAGTATAAGGTGGGGAATTAAAGGAGAAAAAAAAGAGAGAGGTTTAAAAAAAGAGGGGCGGTTTTGGGGGAAGTAAAAAAAAAAATTGGGGGAATTTGGGGGTTTTAATAACAAAATTTTTTTTGGAAAATAAGAAAAATTTTGGTATTTGTGTTTAAAAGTTTAAGGAAGTTTTAAAAGAAAAAGGAAAAGTCTTTAAAAAAGGGGGAGGAATTTTAAAGGGAGAGTTTGGGGTTTTGGGAAAGAAAAGGGGGGATTATTTTGGGGTTTTTACGTTTTGATGAAGGGAAGGGAACGGTTTTGGGAAAAGGGAGGAAGGGTATAACCCCACTTTTTATGGGGAAAGACCCTTTGGAGGGGGGGGAAATTTTTCAACTTTTTGGTTAAAATAAAAAATAGGGGGGGTTAACAGAAGGGAAAAAGGGAAAAAGGTTTTGAAATTTTAAAAAACGGGGGGATTTTTGAAATTGGAGATTTGGGTTTGGGGAAATAAAAAATTTTGGAAGGGGAAAAAGGTTGGGTTTTGGGGGAAGGGGAAGCTTTTATTTTGAAAAAAAGGGGAAAGGGGAAAAAAATCTTTGGGGAAAGCCGGTTTGAGTTTTGGGGAAAAATTTGTATGGTGGGAAAAAAAATTTGAAAGGGGGTTAAGGAAGCCGGGGTTTGGTTTGGGATAAAAAGGGAAGGTTTAAAAGGGAGGGGGTTTTTTTTGGGAAGGGGGTTTGGTAAAAATTTTTTAAATAAAGTTTTTGAAAGGTTAAAGGGTCCTTTGGGGCTTTTAATGGCCTTTGGGAAAAGGCGGGTATAAAGGGGGGAAAAATTTGGGGGGGAAATTTTTGAAGTTTTGGGTTAAGTGTATGGTGTAGGAAAGGTTAAGGAAAAAACGGAAAGGGGGCAGTAAAAAGGGGTTTTTAAAGGGGGGTGTGGGCCGGGTTTTAAGTGAAAAATTAAAAGGAAAAAGTTTGGAAAAATTTTTTCCCCCTTTTTAAATTGGTTAGGAAAAGGATAAGGGGTAAAGGGGGAATGTCAGTGGTTGAATTATTTAAGAGGGGGGTTCTGAAAGGGGAAGGGTTTTTTTCGGGGGTTTGGGGGGCCCGTGGAGTTTAAAAAATAAAATTTTTCCATAAAAGGGTTGGGAGTTGTTCCCCGTGCTTTTTAATAATTTTTTGAGGGTTTAAGAAAAAGGTAAATGGGGAAAATTTTGGAAGGGGGGGTGAAAATTTGAAAGAAAAAAATTGGGGGTTTGTACAGGGGTAAGGTTTGGGGAAACAGAAATAAAAAATCATTATTTTTTTTTTTTTTTTTTTTTTTTTTTTTTTTTTTTTTTTTTTTTGGTGATAAAAAGATTGAATATCAGTTGGGGGAGGGGAGAGTTATGGAGGAGGTGAAGGTATTCAGATTTTTTTGGGGTGGACGTTGTCAGGGGAAATTGGGGTCTATGAAAAGATGAGGTGAATCATAGAATTGATGGGGGAAAAAAAAGAGGTGGTGGTGAAATTAGGAGTCTGTGGAGCAGAAAATTTGCCCTTGGGGGCCCCAAAAAAGGGGAATTTTATGGGAGTATAGTTTTACCCAACGCTCTTATATGGGGGGTTGAAGCATGGGGTGATGAATTTTTTTTTGCAGCGAGGAGAAAGGGGGAGGAAGTGGGATGTCTTTTTTGAGGGCAATGTGGGGTTTGTAAATAAATCCCGAAAATTTCGTTTTTTGGGAAGTTAGGAGGGGGTGGGGGGAATTCCCAAAAAAACTGTTGTCCAGGGGGTTGGGGAAGGGTTTTTGGGTTTGGTTTTGGACTTTGTAGGGGAGAATGGAAGGGGAAAAAAATAACTTCAAGATTTGTATCAGTTTTAGGGGAAAGGGAAAAGGCGGGGTAGGGGGGGCCGGGCCTTTGGAAAGGGTTGGGGGGGAAAGGGGGTTTAAAGGAGGTTTTGTTTTTTGGGCGGGGGGGGCTTGGACTTCCAGCGGGCAGGGTTTGAGCGTGTTTGATAGGAGTGAATGGGGGGAAAAAGGGTTTTTTTAATACTTGACGTGCTGTTGGAGTGTGAGCAAAGAAACTTTATGAAGGGATTCGGGGAAAACCCGGCGGGCCCGGGGGATTGGGCCCTGGAGATGGGAAGTACAGTGCTGCACTCAAAAGGGGGGTGTTAATTTTGGGCATTTTAAAAAAATTTTAGTTTTAAAGCCCCCCTTCTGGAAAGACATTTGATGGAGTGAATGATGGTTTGAAAGTTTTTTTTTTTGGGCCCCCCTCCCGTGGGGGGAATCGGCCAGGTGATAATAAAAAAAAAAAAAAAAAAATATAAAATTTATATATATTTTTTAATATTATATATATATATTTTATTTATAATATAATATTATATATATATATATTATATTTTTTAAAAAAAAAAATCCCGTGGACCCTCTATTTACGATTTTAAATCCTTTCCCATGCCTTGATCGCAAGGGGGATTTGTTGTTTGCAGGGGAAATTTTCCCTTCTTTAAAAAATTAAAAGGGAAATTTAATTGTTCCGGGAATTCCAGGAAAGGAGAAAAACATTTTAATAAATTCCCTAATATCAACTCTCCCCAGCTTATTTATCTGTAACAATTAAATGAAATATGACAATAAAAAATTTTTAATAAACATAGAAAAAATGATATATAAAATAAAATGAAAAAAATTTTTTTAACATGTCTTAGGTTTGTGGCTAGTGGTGGTGACAGCAGCCATTGTTTTTGGGGGGTTTTGGGGCCCACCACTCGGCCTTTCCCTGCCTCGACTACATGTGTGGGAAAACCTGGGGAATAACTCAAAAAAAGTCAGAGTGACTTATAAGAGTTTCACTTTTAAATGCTTCATTTAAATTGGGTTTCATTTTTAATGAAACACTTTGCCACTGCTGCTTCTTTTGTCTGCCACTGCTACCTCATGAGTTTTGCCACTGCTGCTTAGGGTTGTCTTCCACTGTCCCTTTTTCATGTGTCCCCAACTGCTGTTTTATGTTGTCTGCCATTTGCATCGTTAAAACGATACCATCTTTTTGGTCAAGGGCCCACCTTATTTTTTATATTTTTAATTATATATATTATGGGGCCGGGGAAAAAGGGGAAAAGAGGAAGATTGGTCCTGGGGGGGGGAAAATTACATTTTTGCCTGCCTTGAAGGGGGGTGAAAAATTTGAGTTTAAAAAACCCCCCTGTAGTTTTAAAGCCCCCTTTTGGGCAAGACAGTGATGGGGGAATTTTAAAAGTTTTTCTTTTTCGGGCCACCCTCCCCTTGGGTTTGGGAATGGGCCCGGAGTGATAATAAAAAAAAAATAAAAAAAAATATTATATATATTTTTATATATAATTTATATTTTTTTTTTTAAAAAAATTTCGGCCTTTTCTCCCACGGGCGGGGGCCCCCCCCCCAAAAAGAAAAAAGGCCTCACATCCTCAAAAAAAACTCTTTACGGGCTTTTTAAAAATTACCCCCTTTTCCCATATACTTGCAACATTTTGGCCACATTGTTCCCTATCCACTTTTATCATAGGGGCCTTTTCTAAATCCATAAAAAAAAAACCCCCTACCTTTTCTAAATACGGGTTCACATATTTTGCTTCAATGAAAACACTTGTCTACACATCCCCCCCACTCTAAAACCCCCTTTGGGCCATCCGCAATCCTACATTCTGTCTTACCCCCTAATTTTTTAAATTTAAAAAAACCCCTACCTTTACATTTTTCCCGGGGTTTACTCAGAAAAATATTCCTCTATAATTTTTACAATCTCTTTTGCCCCTTTTCCCCTTTTTTAAAAAAAAAGGGACTATAAGCTCTTCCCAACCCCTGGGTTCCCTTTCCTCCCCTTTCATAATTTATTAAACAAAAGTACCAACCACTCCAACACTATATCCTCCCCCTTTTTTTTTTTTTTTCCCCCCTTTTCCCCTTTTCCCCCTTTTTTTTTCCCCCCCTCTCCCCCTTTTCTGTTCTTCTTCACTCCAAAAAAATGCCCCCCCGGGCCCCTGGAAATTACTGCCTTTGTTTCTTCCTTAAATTTTTAAAAATTCCCAAAAATTTTCCCCCCCCCCAAAACCCCCCCCCCCCCTTTTTAAAAAAAAAATTTTTTTTTAAAAAATTTTTTTTTTTTCCCTTTTTTTTTTTTTAAATCCCCAAAATTTTTTTTTTTTTAAAAAAAATTTTTGGGGCCCCCTTTTTTCCCCCCCCTTTTTTTTTTTTTTTTTTCCCCTTTTTTTTTTTCTTTTTAAAACCCCTTTTTAAAAAAAGGCCTTTTTTTTTTTTCCCCCCTTTTTTTTCCCCCAATCCTTTTTTTCCCCCCCCCCCCCCCCCCCAAAAAAAACCCCCCCTAAAATTTTTTTTTTTTTTTTTTCCCCCTTTTTCCCCCCCCCCTTTTTTTTTCCCCCCCCCCCCCCCTTTTTCCCCCCCCCCCCTTTTTTCCCCCCCCCCCCCCTTTCCCCCCCCCCCCCCCCCCCCCCAAATTTTCCCCCCCCCCCCCCCCCCCAAACCCCCCCAATTTTTAAAAACCCCCCCCAACCCCCCCCCCCCAACCCCTTTTTTTTCCCCCCCCCCCCCCCCCCTTTTTCCAAAACCCCTTTTCCCCCCCCCCCCCCCCCCCCCCCCCCTTTTTTTTTTCCCCCCCCCCAAAAAAAACCCCCCCCCCCCCTTTTCCCCCCCCCCCTCCCCCCTTTCCCCAACCCCCCCCCCCCCCCCCCCCTTCCCCCCCCCCCTTTCCCCCCCCCAAAAAAAAAAAACCCCCAACCCCCCCCCCCCCCCCTTTCCCCCCTTTTTTCCCCCCCCCCCCCTTTACCCCCCCCCCCCCCCCCCCCCCTTTTCCCCCCCCCCCACCCCCTTTTTTCCCCCCCCCCCCCCCCCCCCCCTTTTTTTTTTCCCCCCCCCCCCCCCCCCCTTTCCCCCCCCCCCCCCCTTTTTCCCCCCTTTTTCCCCCCCCACCCCCCCCCCCCCCCCCCAAAAACCCCCCCCCCCCCCCCCCCCCCCCCCCCTTTTCCCCCCCCAAAAACCCCCCCCCCCCCCCCAACCCCCAAAAAACCCCCCCCAAACCCCCCCCCCCCCCCTTTCCCCCCCCCCCCCCCCACCCCCCCCCCCCCCCCCTTTTTTTTTTTTAAAACCCCCCCCCCCCTTTTTTTCCCCCCCCCCCCCCCCGGGGGCCCCCCAAAAATTTTTTTAAAAACCCCCCAAAAAAATTTTTTTTTTTACCCCCCCCCCCTTTTTTTTTAAAAAAAAAAAATTTTTTTTTTTTTTTTTTTTTTTTTTTTTTTCCCCCCCCCCCCCCCCAAAAACCCCCCCCCCTTTTTTAAAAAAAAACTTTTCCCCCCCCCCCCCCCCCCCCTTTCCCCCCCCCCCCCCCAATTTTCCTTTTTTCCCCCCCCCCCTTTTTAATTTTTTTTTTAAAAAAAAAAAACCCCCCCCCCCCCCCCCCCCCCCCCCCCCCCCCCCCCCCAAAAAAAATTTTTGGGTTTTTTCCCCCAAAAAACCCCCCCAAAAACCCCCCCCCCCCCCCCCCCCCCTCCCCCCCCGGGGAAAAAACCCCCCCCCCCACCCCAAAAACCCCCCCTTTTCCCCCCCCCCCCCCCCCCCCCCCCCCCTCCCCAAAACCCCCCCCCCCTTTTTTTTTTTTTTTTTCCCCCCCCCCCCCCCCCCTTTTTTTTTTTAAAAAAAAAAAACCCCCCCCCCCCCCCTTCCCCCCCTTCCCCCCCCTTTTTTCCCCCCCCCCGCCCCCCCCCCCCCCCCCCCCCCCCCCCTTCCCCCCCCCCCCCCCCCCCCCCCCCCCAAAACCCCCCCCCCCCCCCCCCCTTTCCCCCCCCCCCCCCCCCCCCCCCCCCCCCCCCCCCCCCCCCCCCCCCCCCTTTTTTTTCCCCCCCCCCCCCCCCCCCCCCCCCCCCTTTTTTTCCCCCCCCCAAAAAACCCCCCCTTCACCCCCCAACCCCATTTCCCCCCCCCCCCCTTTTTTTTTTAACCCCCCCCCCCCCCCCCCCCCAAACCCCCCCCCCTCCCCCCCTTTAAAACCCCCCCCCCCCCCCTTTTCCCCCCCTTTCCCCCCCCCCTCCCCCCCCCCCCCCCCCCCCCACCCCCCCCCTTTTTCCCCCCCCCTTTTTTTCCCCCCCCTTTTTCCCCCCCCCCCCCCCCAACCCCCCAAACCCCCCCCCCCCCCAATTTTTCCCCCCCCCCCCCAAACCCCCCCCCCCCAATCCCCCCCCTTCCCCCCCCCCCCCTTCCCCCCCCCCCTTTCCCCCCCACCCCCCCCCTCCCCTCCCCCCCCCCAAAACCCCCCCCCCCAAAACCCCCCCCCCCCCCCCCCCGGGGGGAAATTTCCCCCCCCCCCCCAAAACCCCCCCCCCCCCCCCCCCCCCCCCCCCCCTTTTTAAAACTTTCCCCCCCCCCCCCCCCCCCCCCCCCCCCCCGCCCCCCCCCCCCCCCCCCCCCCCCCCCCCCCCCTTTTTTTCCCCCCCCCTTTCCCCCCCCCCCCCCCCCCCCCTTTTTTTCCCCCCCCCCCCCCCCCCCCCCTTTCCCCCCCCCCCCCCCCTTTTCCCCCCCCCCCCCCCCCCAATTTTTTTCCCCCCCCCCCCCCCCCTTTTTCCCCCCCCTTTTTTCCCCCCCCCCCCCCCCAAAAAATTTTTCCCCCCCCCCCCCTTTTCCCCCCCCCCCCCCCCCAAACCCCCCCCCCCCCCCCCCCACCCCCCCCCCCCCCCCCCCCCCCCCCCCCCCCCCCCCCTTTTCCCCCCCCTTTCCCCCCCCCTTTTCCCCCCCCCTTTCCCCCCCCCCCCCCCCCCCCCCCCCCCCCCCTTTCCCCCAACCCCCCCCCCCCCCCCCCCCCCCCCCCCCCCCCCCCCCCCCCCCCCCCTTCCCCCCCCCAAAACCCCCCCCCCCCCCCCCCCCATTTTTTTTCCCCCCCCCCCCCCCCCCCTTTTTGCCCCCCCCAACCCCAAAACCCCCCCCCCCCCCCCCCCCCCTTCCCCCCCCCCCCCCCCCCCTCCCCCCCCCCCCCCCCCCAAACCCCCCCCCCCCCCCCCCCCCCCTCCCCCCCCCCCCCCCCCCCCCTTAAAAACCCCCCCCCCCCTTCCCCTTTTTTTCCCCCCCCCCCCCCCCCTCCCCAAACCCCCCCCAAACCCCCCCCCCCCCCCCCCCCCCCAATTTCCCCCCCCCCCCCCCCCACCCCCCCCCCCCCCAAAAAAACCCCCCCCCCCCCCCCCCTTTTTAAAACCCCCCCCCCCCTTTTTTAAAAAACCCCCAACCCCCCCCCCCCCCCCCCCCCCCTTAAAAAACCCCCTTTTTTTTCCCCCCCCCCCCCCCTTTTTTTACCCCCCCCCCCCCCCCCAAACCCCCCCCCCCCCTTTTTTTCCCCTTTTCCCCCCCCCCCCCCCCCCCCCCCCCCCCCCCCCCCCCCCCCCCCCCCCCCCCCCCCTTTTTTTTTTCCAAAATTTTCCCCCCCCCCTTTTTTCCTTTCCACCCCCTTTTTTTGCCCTTAACCCTTTTTTTTTTTTCTTCCAATTAAAAAAAAATTTTTTAAAAAAAAATTCCCTTTTTTTTTCCCCCCCCCCATCCCCAAATTTTTAAAAAAACCCCCCTTTTTTTTTTTTTTAAAATTTTTTTTTTTCCCTTTTTTTTAAAAAATTTTTTTTTTTTTCCCCCCTTTAAAAAACCCCCCCAAAAAAACCCCCCCCCCCCCCTTTTTTTTTTTTCCCCCAAAAAAATTTTTTTAAAAAAAAAAAAACCCCCCTTTTTTTTTTTTCCCCCCCTTTTCCCCTTTTTTTTTTCCCCCCCCCCCTTTTTTTTTAAAAAAAATTTTTTTTTCCCCCAAAATTTTTTTTTTTTAAATTTTACCCGGGCCCCTTTTTCCGGGGGGTTTTTTAACAAAACCCCAATTTTTAAAATTTCCCCCCCCCTTTTTTTTTTTTTCCCCCCTTTTTTTTTAAACCCCCCCTTTTTTTTTTTTCCCCCAAAAATTTTTAAAAAATTTTTTTTTTTTGGGGAAAAAAAAAACCCCCCCCCTTTTTTTTTTTTTCTTTTTTTGGGGGGGTTTTTCCCCCTTTTTTTTTTTGGGGCCCCCCCGGTTTTAAAAAATTTTTTCCCCCCCCCCAAAAAAAGGGAAAAAAAACCCCAAAAAAAAAATTTTTTAAAAACCCCCCAAAAAAAAGGGGGGGTTTTTAAAGGTTTTTTGGGGGGTTTTGGGACCCAAAAAAAAAATTTTTTTTTAAAATTTTTTTTTTAAAAAAAATTTTTTTTTTTTTTTTATTTTAAAAAATTTTTAAAAAAAAAATTTTTGGGAAAAAATTTTAATTGGGGGGTTTTTTAAAAAAATTTTAAACCCCGGAAAACCCCCCTTTTTTTCCCCCCCAAAAAAAATTTTTTTTTGGTTTCCGGGGTTTTTTTTTCCCCCTTTTTTTAAAAAAAAAAAAATTTTTTTTTTTAAAAAATTTTTGGGGGGGCCCCCCCCCAAAAAAAAAAATTTTTTTTTTGGTTTTATTTGGGGGGGGGGGGCTTTTTTAAAAAATTTTTTTAAAAATTTTGGCCGTTTTTTGGGGAAAAAATTTTGGGGGAAAAATTTTTTTTAAAAAACCCCCTTTTTTTAAAATTTTTTTTTTTTTTGGGGGTTTTTCCCGGGGGGATTCCCAAAAAATTTCCCCCCTTTTTTTTTTTTTCTTTTTTTTTTTTTCCTTTTTTCCCCCTTTTTTTTCCCCCAAAACCCCAAAAAAAATTTTTCCCCCGGGGGGGGGCCCCCCCCCTCCCCCCCCCCCCTTTTTTACCCTTTTTTCCCCCCCCCCCCCCCCCTTTTCCCTTTTCCCCCGGGGGGGGGGTTTTTTTTTTTTTAAAAAATTTTTTTTTTCCCCCCCCCGGGGTTTTAACCCCCCCCTTTTTTTCCCCTTTTAAAAAAAAAGGGAAAAAAAACCCCCCCTTTTTTTTTTCCCTTTTTTTTAAAAAAATTTTTCCCCACGTATGTCATAATGCCTTTGCGAATAACCACTCAGTTATTGCCATATTTTTTGACCTTGAGAAGGCATATGACACAACTTGGAGGTATAATATTTAGCCCAAGCCCATCTTAGGCCTTCGAGGCAATCTTACCATCCTTCCTTAAGAACTTTTTAACTGACAGGCATTTCCGTGTTCGGGTTAATAATGTGCTCTCCCCAGACTTTATCCAAGCTGAAGGTGTCCCCCAGGGATGTGTTCTGAGCACAACACGTTTTCTTCTTGCTATTAATGATTTGGCCTCTAGTCTTCCATCAAATATTTGGTCATCACTCTATGCTGATGACTTCGCTATTGCCTGTGCAGGCGCTGGCTGTCACCTTATTACAGTTTCTCTCCAGCATGCAGTCGACCGTGTTTCCAATTGGGCCACCACACATGGGTTTAAATTTTCCAGCACTAAAACCCACCAAATTACTTTCACTAGACGCTCTGTCATCTCCGATCATCCTTTGTACCTCTATGGCTCCCGTATCCCTGAACGTGATACAGTCAAGTTTCTGGGCCTCCTCTTTGATCGTAGGTTATCCTGGAAACCTCACATTACCTCTCTGAAGGCAACTTGTCACAGCCGGCTGAACCTTCTTAAAACCCTTGCTCATCTTTCATGGGGAGCTGATCATCGAACCCTCCTTTGCCTACATTCCACCCTTATTTTATCGAAACTTGATTATGGTGACCAGATCTATTCAGCGGCATCTCCTGCTACTCTCTCTAGCCTTAACCATTCATCACCAAGGATTACGTTTATGCCTTGGTGCTTTTCGCTCTTCCCTTGTCGAGAGCCTCTATGCAGAAGCGAACGTTCCATCCTTATCCGATCGCCATCATGCCCATTGCCTTCGCTACTATGTACGCTCTCACGATCTCCGCAATCCTTCCATTTATAGAATGGTCACTGATATTAGTAGACATTCTTTATTTGTTCGCCGCCCCTGTTTACTCTGTCCCTTCTCTCTTCGCCTTCATTCGCTCTTGTCTTCTCTTCAATTACCACTTTCTATGTACATGTAGCATCTCACTTTTCCCTACCCCCTGGGAAGTTCCAGCTGTTCGAGTCTGTTCTTTCTCTCTCCCTTGTTCGAAAGCCCAACTGTCTACGGTCGCTTCCCGCTCTCTTTTTCTTGACCACTTTCACTCTCATTGTCATGCCATTGCTGTGTACACAGATGGCTCTAAGTCTTCTGACGGCGTAGGATTCGCAGCAGTGTTTCTGGACAGAGTCGTACAAGGGCATTTACTATCTTTGGCTAGTATTTTTACTGCTGAATTGTATGCCATCCTTACAGCACTTATCCTTATTGCATCTATGCCTGTGTCATCATGTGTGGTTGTCTCAGACTCCCTTAGTGCTTTACAGGCTATACAGAAAATTGATACACCTCACCCCTTAGTCCTCCGTATCCAACTTTGGCTACGCCGCATCTTTACCAAGCATAAAGATATTGTTTTTCGTTGGGTCCCTGGTCATGTTGACGTACAGGGCAATGAACAGGCAGACACTGCTGCACGGTCAGCAGTACATGACCTACCAGTTTCATGTAGAGGTATTCCATTTACGGACTATTTTGCTGCAATATCTTCCCAACTTCACACCCGTTGGCAACAACGTTGGTCTGCTATGCTCGGCAACAAACTTCAATCTATTAAACCGAGTATAGGTTACTGGCCATCTTCTTATCACCAGTGTCGAGGTTGGGAGACTACTCTCTCCCATCTTCGCATTGGCCATACTCGTCTTACTCATGGATATCTCATGGAGAGGCGCCCTGCTCCTCTCTGTGTGAAAATTGCCAAGTTCCATTATCAGTCAGCCACATTCTGTTGGACTGCCCACTTTATCAACGAGCACGCAGAATTTACCTCCCGTGTCATCTTCGCTCTGCTGCTCTCTCTTTACCTTCCTTCTCGCTGATGGACCCACTTTCATCCAGACTCTCTCATTGACTTTTTGACAACAACTGACTTACTTCACAAATTCTGATACCTTCAGCCCTTTCTACTTCAATCTCTTGCTAACCTCTACCCCTGTACTATCCCCTTCCCTGCTGTTTTTTGTAACCTACTGATCATCCCTCCTCCCTTCTGCCATCCAATACCCTCGCTTCCTTCCCTACCCTGCAGCGCTGTATAGCCCTTGTGGCTTAGCGCTTCTTTTTGATTATAATAATAATAATAATAATAATATGTGCATTGAGTTTTTGCATAGCGTGAAAAGGACACGAGGAACATCAAAGAGTGATCTGTGTCTTGTGTTATGGTCATGTGTTCTGTTGAGGTTGGTAAGGAGATGTTTGAGGGAAGGGTTTATGTCAGAGTTAAGTGTTCTATGTATGTAGTAGGTGCAGTAATAAGTATGGATGTTTTGTATTGTGAGTAGGTTTAGAGTTTTGAATATTTTTGGAGTGTGCTGTCTGTAGTGGGAATTTGTTATTCTGACTGCAGCCTTTTGTTGGGTGATTAGTGGTCTGAGATGGTTTATTGTTGTTGAGCCCCATGCACAAATTCCATAGGTGAGATAGGGGTAAATAAGTGAGTGATATAGGGCCAGGAGGGCTGACTGTGGAACATAGTACCCTATCTTCGATAGTATGCCTATGGTCTTGGAATTTTTTTTGGAATTTTGTTGTATATGTGTTTGAAATTTGAGTCTATTATCAAGGTGGATTCCTAGGAATTTTCCCTCTGTGAGTTTTGTGATAGGTGATCCATTTATCATTATGTTAAGAGAGACATCTGCAGCTCTGTTATCAAACTGAATGTAGTAGGTTTTGTCAATGTTAGAGTAAGTTTGTTGGTCCTCATCCAAGTTGATATTTTCTGTAATTCGGTATTTACAGTATTGGCTAGCATGACTGGGCTTGGGTGAGAGTAGACGTATGTAGTGTCATCTGCAAATAGTGTGGGTTTGAGTAGTTGCGATGCATTTGGTAGGTCATTTATGTATATGAGAAAGAGAAGAGGGCCTAGGACACTTCCCTGTGGGACACCAACTGTAATTGGCTGTGCGGAAGAGTTTGCCCCATTTGTGTACACATATTGGCTTCTGTTGCTGAGGTATGACTTTAGGTAGTTGAGGGAGTGCCCTCTTAAACCATAGAGCGACAATTTTATGTGGAGCAAGTCGTGGTTAACTGTATCGAAAGCTTTATGTAAGTCAGTGAAGATCCCCAGTGGGACTTCTTTTTTCTCTATTGCTGTATAAATATGTTCTAGCATGTGGATAATAGCATCATTAGTATTTTTATTAGGCCTGAACTCAAATTGACAGGGGTTGAGTATGTTGTGGGAGATGAGGTAGGAATAGATGCGCTTATGTATTAATTTTTGAAAGATTTTAGAGAGAGGGTGTAAGTTGGATATTGGCCTATAGTTATTCAAGCCTGTGTGGTCTC